CTCTGGGCCCCACCCACCATCACCTGCAACTCCCATCCCGGGGTTTAAAAACCAGAGCTCCGGGCCCGGCGCGGTGGCGCAAGTGGTTAAAGGTCCTCGCCTTGCACGCCCGGGATCCCATATGGGCGCCGGTTCTAATCCCGGCAGCCCCGCTTCCCATCCAGCTCCCTGCCTACGGCCTGGGAAAGCAGTCGAGGACGGCCCAAAGCCTTGGGAACCTGCACCCGCGTGGGAGACCCGGAAGAGGCTCCTGGCTTTGGATCCCCGTTGAGCATAGTATTGGCCCGTTGCGCTCACTTGGGGAGTGAATCATCGGACGGAAGATCTTCCTCTCTGTCTCTTCTCTGTGTATATCCGCCTTTCCAATGAAAAAATAATAAAAATAAATCTTTAAAAAAAAATAAAATAAAAACCAGAGCTCCAGGTCTGCTGGCCGGGGAGGGAAGGGACATGAAGACAAACAAGAAAGACCTTCATGTCTTTCTTGTTTGTCTTCATGTCCCTTCCCCTCCCTGCTACCAACCTTATCCATGTTCTTCAAGCTCTTGCCGCCTCCTGGAAGCCTGCCGTGCCAGGCCAAGTGATCCGCACAACACCGCAGTGTCTTCCAGCTGACATCCCAAGGCCACGCTGCTGAAGGGGATCTTCCGGTGTGCCAGACTGTCTGGATGAAGAGAGATGGGGAGGCAGAAGGAGAGGAAAACCCAGTGGGCCAGAGATAGCTCAGACATACTTCCCTAAGATTCCTTGAGTGTAGGTTCACATGCATGAGCCGGAAATAAGATATAATCCGTACGTCTCATTTTCTGAATTTTCTGGTCCATTGGTGTTACCCTGACTTTGGAAGTTCTTTTCTTTAGCTAGTCTCATGTCCCATGCCCTTCTTTCCACCCACCGAGTCCAGAACCAATGGAGAAAGTTCAAGGAAACAAAAGGATGGAAATCAAACTGTCAGGTTTTTTTTTTTAAATCACCATTTTATATATATGATATCTACTTTTTAAAATTTATTTATTTGAAAGGCAGAGCAACAGAGAGATCTTCCATCTGATGATTCACTCCCCAAATGTTGACAAAAGCTAAGGCTTGGACCATCTTTTCGCTGTTCCAGGCAGTTCTAATCATGGCTGCCCTGCTTCCACTTTTCTTAGCAAGAAACGTGATCATAGAAGCCAAGTAGCTGGGGCTGAGACCAGGCACTCCGATGCAGAATGCGGGCATCCCAAGTGGTGGGGTAACCCGCTGTGCCACAACATCTCCCCCTAAATGTCCGTTGTATTGCTGCTCCATGATGTGTGGGGCAGAAATGCGCTCCCCGGTGTGTAGCATGAAAGAGGTCAGCAGGGTGGGAAGGCCCTGGGTCGCAGGAGGACAACGAAGAGGGATCCAGCCCTGGAGGCAGGGTGGTTACAGTCAGGCCCCAGACAGAACACACCAGAAACTGGGTCAGCACTGTGCCTTGTCTGCCCCCTTATCAATCAGCTCGGTGTCTGCCCCAGAAAGGGACATGTGACAGCGAGAGAGAAGGACAGAGAGACACAAAGAGGGAGAGAGCAGCAGTGTTCCTCCTGTGAGAAAGAGACTTCTACACCTGATAGTTGTGCCTAAATGCCAGTTAATAAAGCTACGCTATAATTAAGCAAACTGGGTAATTAGAGCCACTGAAATCAGCAATCACAATTAGCCACAGCTGACTGAAGGTGCATCCTCCCGGGACCTCCATGTAGACAGCCGCCTGCACTCTGCGGTGTTGGCACAGTCCCAGGCAGGTGGCAGACAATCTGTGTCTGGGCTCCTTGGCAAGCAGAGCTTGCTCCAGGCCATCCATCCCCATCATAACGTCAGTCTGCCTCACCATCTCACTGCAGGTTTCCTGCCCTGAGGGGTAGACCCTGGGAATTCCAGATCCCATTCCAGATCTCAGACCCAGCCATCCACCCTGTTTGGGAAGCAATGTGCAGCAGACAACAGGTGGCTGTGTCAACAGCTGACAGGTTTAGAAGCCACCACTTTTACAGCCACTTGCAGTTCTTCGCTATTTTACTAGGGAGACGGGTTGTAAACATGAGGAAGCAGATGATTGCTGTTTGATTCACAATAGCTAAGATAGGAAATCAACTCAGATGTTCATCAATGAATAACTGGATTAAAAATTATATATATATATATATATATATATGCACACGCCATGGAATACTGCTTAGTCATGGAAAAAGAATGAGATACTGTCTTCTGCAACTAAATGAATACAACAATAAACCTTATGCTTAATGAAATAAATCAGTTCCCAAATGGCAAATATTATATGTTCTACATGTTTGTGGTAATAAACACACAGACTACAAAAGGGATATCAGCCATATGAGCAAGATTGTGATGTGTGATTGCTGCTTACAGCCTGTACCTCTGCTCTCAAGGCACAGTCACAATTTGTGGAAATCTTAACCCAAAGTAGTGTTAAGCCTGTGATTACAAAGTGATATGAAAGTAAACCATTGCAAGAATTTTAAAAAAGAAGAAGGGACCCCACGTGATAGCCTAGTGGTTAATGTCCTTGCCTTGCAGTTGCCGGGATCCCATATGGTCGCTAGTTCTAATCACAGATGCCCTGCTTCCCATCCAGCTCCCTGCCTGTGGCCTGGGAAAGCACTGGAGGATGACCTAGAGCCTTGGGACCCTGCAACCCACGTGGAAGGAAGCTCCTGCCTCCTGGCTTCAGATAGACACAGCTCCAGCTGTTTGCAGCCGCTTGGGCAGTGAATCAATGGATAGAAGATCTTTCTCTCTGTCTCTCCTCCTCTCTGTATATCTGACTTTCCAATTAAAAAAGAAGAAGAAGAAAAAGAGGCTGGATATAGAACATGGACACGAGGGAGGGGGAGGGGGTTCATATCGCTAGGCTCCTAAATTCATACTATGAAATATGTCAAATTTGTTCACGTTATAAAAATATTTATTGTTAAATATGTTTATATGTGTGTGTATATATGTATATGTATGCATGTGTGTATATATATTTATGGTCCAGCACTGTGGCATAGCAAGTAAAGTCGCCACTCGCGGTCATGGGTACTGATTTGATGGCCAGCTAGTCCACTTCCAGCCCAGCTCTCTGAAAATGTTTCTGAGAAAGCAGTGGAGAATGGCATGAGCACTTAAGCCTATGCACACATGGGAGAGACTGGAAGAAGCTCCTGGCTCCTGGCTTCAACCAGCCCAGGCCCAGCAATCAGCCATCTGGTGAGTCAACCAGCACATAGAATATCTCTCCCTCCTTCTCTCCCTGCCTCTCTCTCTCAGTGTAACTCTGCCTTTCAAAGGAATGAATAAGTAAATCTCAACATACACACATACACACACACGCGCACACACACACACACACACACACACACGAAGCAAATAAGTCTTTGTAAAAGCCTGACTGTGGTACTACCCAAGACAGACCCTAAAACACGGGTTGGTTATGAGCAGAATTACAACAGCAAGTAAAAGCTGACCATAAAAGAAAGTGTAGGAAATTTTCAAGAAGCATCTATCACAATTTAAACTATACAATGGGGGAAGCTTTTGTTTTCATCTTCAATTGCATTCAATTGTTTCTGAGAAGCTGCAGACCAGAAAAAAAATATTAAAGCTTTGTTTTTAAAATAAAAGCCTTCATTGTTTTCCTATTTTATTCATTTGAAAGGTAGAATGACAAAAAGAAGGAAAGATAGAGATCTTCCATCCACTCCTTCGTTAACCGAGGCTGTAATGGCTGGGGCTAGGCCAGCCAGGCCACATCCAGGAGCCTGGTAGATCGCTCTGCTTCTCCCATGTGGACGGCTGTACTTGGGTCACCACCTGCTCTTTTCTCAGGCACATTAGCAGAGAGCAAAATCAGAAGCAGAAGGGCGAGACAGCTGGCTCAACAGGCTAATTCTCCACCTGCCAGCACTAGCATCCCAAATGGGCACTGGTTCTAGTGCCAGCTGCTTCACTTTTTTTTTTTTTCTAAATACAGTTCCATAGGCTCTGGGATTTCCCCACCCCCTCTACAAGTCACCCCCCCCCATTGATTTTCCCTCTAGTATTACCATGGGTGACCCTCCATGAACAGTCACAAGTCCATCATTCCACTCTGAAGTGTTTCCTAACTGCACACATGGACAATATTGGAGTCGAGCATCCTATTGTCAGGGTATAATCAGCTGTGTCACTGGGAGTTCATCTTTGGTCTGGACCAGCTGCTCTACTTCCCATCCAGCCCCCTGCCTGTGCCCTGGGAAAGCAGTCGAGGACGACCCAAAGCCTTGGGACCCTTCTGAGACCCAGAAAAGACTCCTGGCTCCTGGCTTCAGATTGGCTCAGCTCCAGTCACCGCAGCCATTGGAGGAGTAAACCTGTGGATGAACATCTCTCTCACTCCCCCTCTCTCCTCTGTTGCACTTGCTGTGTGTTAATCTGCCTTTCAAATCATTTAAAAGAAGTAGAGCAACAGGGACTCCAGTTGGTGTTCCAACATGGAATGCTAGCGTCACAGACAGTGGCTTCACCCGCTGAGCTGCAAAGCCAGCCGCAGCCACATTCTTAATGCTAGATCAGCTGCATCTATTTATTTTTTTGATAATAAGCAATCCATCTGAGATTTTGAGTGACTCATAAAATGAGTGGCTTATAAAATGAATTTTAAAATGCGTTGCAAACAGCGATCCACCTACAAGGCTTACGACAACTTTTTCTTTGGTTTTCTTCCAACGATCTCCCCAATTGGGTCAGATTTTGGCCCATTCTGAAGCTGTTACAGTTCATGCTTCCAGATTGCTATGAAACAAAGTAGTGAAAGTGAATGCTGGTCCTCGCTGCCCTCAATTCAACTTCAGCCCCTCTGTTGAGTTTCTGTTCTTAGGGACATGTAGGGTTAGCCAAGAGCAAGACCTTCAACAGCACCAGCTGGGCAATTGTGACATACGAAGAACAACCACCAATCAGAGAGAAGGGGCGGCAAGCTGACTGTGACCTGGTCCTAGAAATAGGAGAGCTCGTGCCCTTCTTTGGCCCTGCCCCTTTCCCTTCGTACCTGCTGAGGGGAGTACCATCTACCATGGCCAGATCCCTCATCAAAAAGTACAAGTACTCCAGAGGCTGTCTAACTCCAGTCTCCAGAAGGAAATGCTGTTCCAGCTTCGACTGTGGCCAAAGGAACTACTCTCTGTACGTGAACAGGGTCCTCAAGGAAGTTGTCCCCCAGAACGGCATGTCATCTTACACCGTGGACGTCATCAACAGCCTGGTCAACGACATCTTTGAGCGCATTGCTGTGGAAGCCTGCAACATGATGTACTTCAGGAACCGCTGCACGCTCACCCCCCAGGACATCCAGAAGGCGGTGTATTTGCTCTTGCCCAGGAAACTGGCCAAGTCGGCAGTGACTTTTGGGAGCGAGGCGGTCCACAGATACGTCCACTACTAACCTGCACGTATCAGCCGCAAAGTAAATGTAACTTACTACGCAAAGCGTCACCTCCATGTCCAATTCCCTCTTCTTTTGCACGACACAGCAGTATTTACTGGTATTTTCCTATATATATATTTTATTTCTAGAAATGATTTCTTTCCTGCTGCTTCTGCCTCTTGATGATTCAAATGTCCCCAACACCTACTCTCTGCCTTGACTCCTGTCACAGCTTTGTTTTTCCTATGGATTGTGTAAAGCTCATGTAAACGCAACGCTTGTTGTATCACAAAGGTGTTGTGAACTGCACACAGGATGGCCTGATCTAGCTACTCGGCTCACACTGGATTTCCATTTAGGAAGACACGTGTTTTCAACAGAATGGAGTAAATTCCATTCAATCAAGTCAGCTATTAATTTTTATTGATCATGTTAACTGCTTCCTATTTCTTTTTAAGATTTATTTATTTTTATTGCAAAGTCAGATATACAGAGAGGAGGAGAGACAGAGAGGAAGATCATCCATTCACTGGTTCATTCCCCAAGTGGCTGCAACAGCCAGAGCTGAGCCAATCCGAAGCCAGGAGCCAGGAGCTTCCTTTGGGTCTCCCACGTGGGTTGCAGGGTCCCAAGACCCTGGGCCATCCTCCACTGCTTTCCCAGGCCACAAGCAGGGAGCTGGATGCAAAATGGGGCCTGCCAGGATTAGAACTGGCATTCATATGGGATCCCAGCACATGCAAGGTGAGGACTTTAGCCACTAGGCTACCGCACCAGGCCCCCATCCTATTTGTTTTAATTCTTATGTTCTGAGAGACATCCAGCTCCATTCACATACATGTGAATTTTATTGTAGCATTTTGATTCCCTAAAGTGAATTGTCGGAATGTAAGAGCAATGCTCAGGAACCCACTACCCGCTCTCTGAATGTCACAGAAGTCGCTGGAGATCTTCCCCATCCTCCTCCGGTCTGCTGTCCTGAGTTTATTTCTTTGTCAGTCCTTCATTCTCCATTGTACTTTCAGTGTCCCTTTGCAGTGCCTGTGTGTCTAAGTGACAGTTGAATCTCGCTCGAGTGCGAAGGTGGGCTTGCTGCGTATGTTCTTTGGGGCCTGCGTGAGCGTTTCTAAGAGCTGCACCTGTTGACATGTGCAGCTCCAATTCCTTCTTGTAATCCCTTTCTACAAAGGATCGCATGCCATGAGCAGACCGCAGCGTCTTTATCCGTCCCCTGATCCGCAAGTGCGGGCTGTTTACAGTGGTCTGGTATTAGTAACATTGCTGCTTTAAGAGTGGTAACCACAGCTACAGCATGCACCACTTGACGCACCCCAGCTCTCCGCACAGCTATTAACCCATTGTATCTGCCATCACAACTCCGCTCCCACAGACACGGAGACGCGCACGGAGAAGTGAACGACTCAGCTGGACTCACGCCACTGTGGAAGTGGCAGAGTAGAGATCTGGTGAGTTGAGGACAGTTGGCTTGGATTCTGTGCTGCATGCTGTGGGAATTCTGGTACACAGGAGAGCACTTCGGAGGGTGTGTAGAAAACAGAACTAAACGAGGTTTATTTTGATGTGAAGACATTGAAACCCATGCATGACTTTTCATGGAGATGTATTTACTTATTTGAAAGCAAGAGTGACAGAAAGACAGAAAGGGGAAGAGAAAGCTTCCGTCTGCTGGTTCACACCCCAGATGCCTTCTATGGCTGAGGCTGGACCAGGCCAAATCCAGGAGCTGGGAGCTCCATCCAGATGTCCCACAAGAGTGGCAGGGGCCCCAGGTAACTGAGCTGTCCTATACTGCCTTTCCAGGGGCATTAGCAGAGGGCTGGCTCAGAGACAGAGCACCGGGACTGGAGCCAGTGCTCCGATGAGGAATATTCTGCACCACACCACCAACTTCCAATGCATCAGTTCACCTTATAACATGCACTTTCCATCAACATTTTTTTAAGATTTATTTTTATTGGAAATTCAGATTTACAGAGAAGGAGAGACAGAGACAGAGAGAGAGATTTTTCATTCATTCATAGTTCATTCCCCAAGTGGCTGCAACAGCCAGAGCTGAGCAAATCCAAAGCCAGGAGCTCCTTCTGGGCCTCAAGCGGGTGCAGGATTCCCAAGGCCTTGGGCCGTCCTCCACTGCTTTCCCAGGTCACAAGCAGGGAGCAGGATGGGAAGTGGAGCACCTGGGACAGGAACTCGTGCCCATATGGGATGTCGGCACAGGCAAGGCGAGGACTTTAGCCACCAGGTTACTGCACCGAGCCTTCCATCAACATTTTAGAAGCATCTCCTATTTTCTGATACACACAAGAGTGTTTCAAGGAAAAGTACTTCAGAGTGGAATTTCCAGGTCATTGATCTCTTATATTTCATTCTTTTAAAATAAGATTCTCTTTTTTTACTTTATTCAACATAAATCTATGGGGTATGAAGATACAAGAATGGACATTTCCACCCTATTTAGATGCAAAGATGAATGTACAAGACAGTGAACACACTAACCCAAGGACTCATCGCACGAGTGTATCTTCTGTTGTAACTAAGAGGAAGACTTCACTGAATGTGTCTTTGTAATGATGGTATTTGTTGACATATTTAGTGATGATGAGCATCCAAAAGAAAGGAGTTTTGGTCCAGAATGTGTTAATGGTTATTTTCTACTTTGCTTTTTTAACTTTACATTTTTAATATTGGTTACATAGCCTCAGCTATAGGCAACTGCCTAGGTTGCCTTGTACCTAGGCAAGCGTTACTCTGCTGGGAGAAAGCAGCCCGGAGCTGGCGGGCGTTCCAGGACTGGTTAATGCCAAATTTATGTTAACTCTCATATGCCAGCATAGTTGCTTATTCTTTTTATTTTCCTTTTTAAGTATCTGGGAAGGTAGGAATGCTAGGTTGGGCCATGCCACACAAGCCCCCAGGTGAGGGGGCCGCAGATTTCCTGGAGAAGGCAGTCTGGGGACTTGGGGGCAGCTGAGGGCATGTGTGACAGAGAAGGAATGAACTCAAAGGGCTTCCATGGAATGGGCCACCACACTCACAAGTAGGCAAGGGAGCTGAGACTGAGTAGTCAGGGGCTTGGGTGGCATGGCCCTGAGACAGGAAGGTATGTCTCAGTCAGGCCAAGGTACCTGCCCACATGGGAGACTTGGACTGGGCTAAACAGCATTGCCCACCGCCCACTGGTACATGCAAAAATGGGCTAGAGAGCATGTCCCACTGGGCTAGGATGCAGTACCAGCCCATGAGTGTCACCCTGGCCCACAGCACTCACCAGTACACAAGAGTCCTGGATCTAGTGGCAGATTCTGTGGGCTCGCCTCTTGTGGCATGCAGCACCCAATGTTTTATGCAGAGCTGGGGTGGAGACGAGCCAAGCCAGACTAGACCACAGAATTCACCTGACAAGAAGCCACCTGATACTTACAGGAGCTGCTGGGAAGAGGCTAGACAGGGACAGACTACAGCACCTGTTGCCGCATGCAAGGGCTGGGACAGTGACCAGACCATGCCAAACCACTGGCTTACATGGGATCTGGAGCTGAGAGTTGGCCTGGTAAATGAACTTAGGAAACTCCCCTATTAGGTTACAGCTCCCACTAGGAAACACAAGAACTAGCGCTTGGGGCAGGTCAAGCCAGATAATGCTGTAGCACTTGTCAGCATTTGTGCAAATTGGGTCTGGGGACAGGTCGGGCTGGCACTCCCTGGCATGCACAAAAGTCAGTTCAGGCTGTGGGCTGTGCCTGGCTGGGCTAGGCTGCAATACCCACCTTGTAATTTTCCCTGAAGATGGGCTTTGAGTCTAGCAGTATGAACCTTGCCTAGAGTGACCTCAGACCTGACTCTTGTGAGTGTGGGCTAGGTATGGTCCATCTCACTAGCCAACTCACATACTGATGGATGAAACTGCCTGGACAGCCTACCCCAGCGCTATCTGTCATAGGAACCAGGGGTTTATGTGGCCTCACCCAGCCTAGCCTACCCCAGTCCAGCCCACTCCAGCCCTCTCTCTCATATGAACCAGAGGGTACTATGGCCTCACCCCAGACTAGCCCACCCCAGCCCTATCTCTCATGCAGACTTCAGGTATTGAAGTCTAGTTGAAGCAATCACAAATAACTTCATAAGGCCCATCTTCTGCTCCAGATGTTGGCAGGTGCTACTCCTAACCCAGCCTGATTCACCCCCCAGCCCTGGCTCTCATTCAAACCAGAGAATGCTGCAGCCTGGGCCAGCCCAGCTCCCACCCTGTCTTGGTTCTCGCACACACTAGTAAATGCTGCAACCTAGCCTGGCTTGACCCACCATTAGTCCTAACTGTCACATTGCCAATGAGCACTATGACCCAATCCAGTCCAGCCCACCCCCTAACAGGTACTTGAGCCTTGCTCAGCCCAGCCTACCCCACACCAGCCCCAGCTCTTGCACTCATCAGCAGAAACTGCAGCCTAGCAGAGAAGTCCCGCAAGTTTCCCTATCAGGCCCGCGTGCAGTCCTGGATCTTACACATGTCAGTAGGTACTGTGCCCCAGCCAGGCATGGACTGATCCCAGTCCCAGCTCTCACCAGCAGCTCACCTGCATTCCTAACTTTCATATGAACTGGTAGGTGCTGAAGGCCAGCCTAGTCCATCTTAGCTTTCACATTTGCCAGTGGATGCTGCAGCCTAGCTCAGCCCAGCTGGCCTACAGACCCAGCCCAAAGGTGCTACAACCTTGACCGACTTGGTGAGAGCTGTGATTCAGCAGTGGGATCCCTAATATTTCCTACAAAGTCCAGTCCCAGCCCTGGACTTCACACATGCTGGGAGGTACTGTGGCCCAGCCTGACGTGGTCCACCCCCAGTCCTGGCACTTGCTGGTAGGTGCTGCAGCCTAGCCAAGGTCAGCTCACCCCCAGCACCAGCTATCACACTCATCAGAAGGAGCTGCAATCCAGCAGAAGTGTTCCCCAAATTCCCCTACCTGGCGCATTTTCAGCCCTGGATCTCGTGTGTGCCAGCAGATAATGCCACATTCCCAAACGCAGTCTCAGCACTAGCCAGA